CTTTCCCCAACTTGTCACCTTTATTAAAGCTACTCATTATCTAATTTACTCTCCACCTCTTTGTCTAGGGAAATAATAATAATAATTAAAAGAATGTGCTGAAATCATTTCTCTCTTTTATAAGCCCTGTATACGAAATTTAATACTGAAAAACTAGGAAAACAAACTAAGATGGGACAGCGATCAACACTAAATAATAATGTTAACAAAAAAAAGTTGGATAATGGAAATTGCAGATAGAACTAATTACACCATTAACAAAGATCAGTTTTCACTAATTACATCATTATCAAATAACAAGTTACCATATGCAAAGGTTTTGATGAGAAATGGAATTGTTTATTTACCACCTGCAAAATAAGAGCATTGGGAAGTTTGAGCAAAGCAAAAGGGTAAAGGAAAAAACATGTAATGTTTTTAATTTGATTACCTTCGCCACCTTTTCCACATAGCTTTGATAGGAATGATACAAATACTATGAGCAACGCAACTCCAGCAATGAGCCCTATCAGAATTGCTAATGGGCAAAACTTTCGAGATAATGTTCTAGAAAAAATTAATTCACGAGATAAAGTACTCCCAAGATTAATTGCTCAAATAAGGTGAAATCCACAGTGTTGGCCGTAGGTCGCCATGCCTTTCGGGCGACCTACTAGGTCGCCATGTCTTCCCGGCGAGCTACAAGAGATTGCATGTGCCATACACGTCCCAACACGCTGGGCATCCGAGGCCATCCGACCGAGGCCATTCGAGAGCATCCGAGGCCATTCGAACGAGCTATGCGAGGGCATCCGAGGGTAACCGAGCGAGCTATGCAAGGGAATCCGAGGGCAGCCGAGCGAGGGTAGGTCGCCCGGAGTGCATGGCGACCTACAAGGTCGCCCGGAGGGCATGGCGACCTATGTGTTGGGACGTGCATGTGCCATGCAACACGTTCATTCTCTCTGTTTGAGCAAGGGTAGGTCGCCCGGAGTGCATGGCGACCTATAAGGTCGCCCGGAAGGCATGGCGACTTACGGCCAACACTGTGGATTTCACCCTATTTGAGCAATTAATCTTGGGAGTGCATTAGCTCGTGAATTAATTTCTTCCAGAACATTATCTCGAAAGTTTTTCATTGCTAATGTCTTCTCAATCTCATCGTCATTATTATTTGTATCTACATTCATAAAATTAATAGAAAAATCTCAAAATGAGTATAATCAGTCAAATAAATAACTAATAGGAAAAAAATTCAAGATAAATATTTATTTACATGTCAATTATTGACTCAATATTTGTTTTAATTTATGTATAATTGTGACCAAAATACTTTTAGGTGGAGGGGGACATTGGATTCTTTGTTAATTTCAGAAGGGACATTAATTCAAAAGTAGGGCCATATTGGCTTAAATTTTATGCTAGCATATACTACCATGAAGGTGCTTTTAACATGTTACCTGGGTTTTGGTAGAACAAAAATAACCTATTTAACACTACAAATGTGTTCTACTTCATGTAGTCAAAGAATGTGTATATAATTCATCAAAATCAATGGCCTTTCTTTTCCGATTACTTTTACCATATTAATCAAAATTTATAACTTCTTGAATGATTTGGACTTACCAAACCAGTTATTAAACTTTCACATGGCATGAGAAAGAAAATCAAAGTTCCATGCAAATTCACACTAAATTAAGCAAAGAACATGAAAGATGAAGAACCACCGTCCGAGGGGTGGCGACACTGCTTACCGTTTCCGCCGTGCGAGTGGTATCCGCCTTCCGAATACCGAGCGTAGCACTTGGCCAAATACATGTCGCCCCACTTGGCCGCCGCACAATCTGTTTTGAGCCGTCCGATTGCCTCCGACAAGCAATCTTGACACTCGCTGGGGCTCAAATCCCCTACACTCTGAGCCACACCTTGTACGTCCCCTGATCCGCCGATCCGAAACGGCTTGTAAGTCCCGTCACTCGCTCCCAAGTAACCCAACACCGCGTCACGTCGAGCCAACACGTCCGAGGAAGTCAAAATAAACGGTCCACATCTTCTCACCAGCACAGTCTTGTCCTCAGCGCCTATAAACGTCGTATTATCATATTTAACGAAACACCCTTCGAGTTGCAACCCGCCACCGGTCGAGTCAAGGCAAAGAGTGCCGAGTCGGCTTACCGCTTTGGCGACACAGCGGGCACATTATCCGTCGCTGAGATCGCCACGGCACTGGAAGAGACCGTAGACGGTGTCCTGAGAAGCGGAGCCAGATCCTGGCGCGGTGAAGTTGTTGTAAGAGGTGAACATGGCCGAGTTGACTAGGGAAGTGAGAATTGAGTTGACGTTATACTCATAAGGAGAGCCTGAAATGAACTTGAGCTGCGAACATCCGCCGTAAACAAAGGTATCGGTGGCTGAATTTGTTGGATTAATTACACGGAAAATAAGAAGAATAAAAGGTAAAAACGACGCTTTTCTCGTAACTAAAGCCATGGGAAAGAAGCACAGAGAAAGTGACTGAGAGAAGAAAGAAGCATCTGAAAGAGAACATTGGAGAGCAACGTAAGCTATGGCTTAAAGGAGTACACACTATCTTCGTAGGAATGTAGGAATTAATTTAAGTCGTACCTATTAATCTAATTCAAATAATATATTACATATGTGAGATGATTTTCTTAATTTAATTTATTTTTACGTAAATGTCAAGATTCAAATATATTCCTTTAATAATTTAGTACCTCATCCCACTATACCAACATATTATTGATTATTTTTCTACTATAATTTAAAAATGAATTTTATTTAAAAAATGAATTTAAAAAATAATAAATAGATTTCTTCTAAATATTCCACACCAACTTTTCTCCCAACAATAGTTAGTTAGTAGTGTTTTAAGAATAAACTTTTTTCCCCTTTCAAAATGAGTTTATTCTTCTATTAGGAATTGTGGAAGATGCGTAGTGGCAGATTATAAGTGAGGTTTAATGTTGAAAGCCACGTGTCGGATGAACTATAGTACATCAAAAGATGGTCCTAGACTCAAGTTATGCCTCCCACGTTATACTTAATTGATCTTTCACAGTCAAAATCAACTCCATTTGCTGCTAATTAATTGGCCAAATATTCAGTGGGGTGATGAGTTTATAAGGAATTTATTTATGGATTCTTCTTTGCATTTCTAGAAAATTTATGTAGGATAATTGAATGTATAGAGGTACCCATTTTGTTCTAGAAAAAGAAAAAGGCACAAATTAAAGCAAAAGTAGAATATAGGGTTCTATGTATTACAACAAAAATTGAAGTGGGTGATACAGAAAAAAAAAAACCCTTTCATGAACAAACTATGAAGCAATGGAGATTTTTTTAGCTAATATTTCTCTCTGCCCTAACTTAATTGACCCACCTTTTCAAAATATAAACCATAACTGTTCACCAGTCACCACAAATAAAGGTGTTCCTCTTGGCTACACCCAAGTTCTTATAAGGCTATGTACAACTATAAGAAGAGGAACTAATTAAGATTACCATTATGGCAACGATCAAATTAGATAAATATTAATACTTTTAAAACTATAAAGCTACTGCTTTGGCGGTGAATGCATTCGGACATGGACGAAAATAAGATTTTATGTCATCAGATATAAACTTAAAAGATTACATCAAAAAATTTAAAAACGGTGAAATTATAAAATTTAAAGAGTATAGTTGTCTTATTTTTCTAATATGTTTTGATTGTTGTTATCGTTAGTTGAGAGGTATTCAGTGTGTTGTTGGTTTGATTTTATAGGTTTTGAATACATCAACGTCTTATTAACCATAAGAATTTTTGTGGTATTTCCAATAGCATTCATCTGCCTTAGTAAATAAAGAAAAACAATTAGGTGTAGTTTTCATTTGCCTTGAATGCCTAGTCAATTGTCTTTTGAGATCTCCTTTTATTTTTCCTTTTAGTTTCTTGGTTATTAAAAAAAATAGATTCATTCTTTTCTCCCCCAACTTAAAGTTGTAGGGTTCAAAAGTTTTTATTTTTCATTAATTTAAGATTATCGAATGAGTATAAATTGATGTTTGAGATTATATATATTTTTGTTAAATATCTCTTCATTTTCGACTTTTAATCTCAATCATAAATTGGTCTTAAGTCAATGTAATTTTTTTAAAAAAATTTAGATCGTATATAAAAGGGAGGAAAATCAAAGCAATTAAGTTACTTTTTTTTTGGTTAATCTAGGGTGATTACAAGTGATATGATATGTTCTAAAGACTCTAAATCATTTGACAATAAATGTTTAAATGCCTTACAATCATTGGTGCCTGAACTCAAAACCTTTAAAAATAAACTATCAAATTAGATTGAAGACGATCAAAGATCAATTTAAGGTGGTTTGTGCGTAATTCGAATGACATTAAAGGCTTGTTGTGGAATTCATTTGAGTTTGTCTATCATGTGTAGGGATGGTAAAAAAAACCGAACACGACGGGGAAAATCGAAAACCGAATTAAACGGGTCGAGTTCGGGGATGATAAACGGGGATGAGGACGGGTACGGGGAAAATTGAATGTTTTAAACGGGGGACGAGGACGGGGACGGGTTTGGTAATACCCGTCCCGATTACCCTGCCTGATAAATATTAAAAATAATTATTATATATATATATATATATATATAATATTAATAAATTTAATTTAAATTAAAAAAATATATATAATATTTATATATTTAATTTAAATATATATACCCAACCCGATACCCGATCCGATACCCGTTTATGCTAAACGATGATATCCGTTTCTCCGCGGTTTTCCCCGATTACCCGATAGAGATCCTCGTTTAAATCCTCACGGATTTTTAAGCAGAGACGAATACGGAATTTTTAAACTGGGACGGGAGGGCCAATACCCGACCCGAACCCGACCCGTTACCATCCTTAATCATGTGATGTGTTAGTTATGGAATTGGAAGCCGATATAGGTTTTTAACCTTTTTTATTTAAAATCAAATCCAAATAAAATGCCCATTCATATACCAAAATAAAAGTCCATTTATAAATCCACCAAATCAACTTTGTAACCAAACATTACCCATTACATTAAACCCTTACAACTCACTCATTAACCAATTACAATTTTAAACCAATTAATCCACTACAAAATCAGTGGTCCAAACCATTAACACGACCCATTTATAATGCAACTAAAATCCATTTTTACCCAAAATCACTATGGACCAAAAAGACTCGAATGAAAAGGCCCGAACAAATAGACCAATATCAGATTAGGGTTTGTTTAAACACTTGCACCGCCTCTCATGTTTCACAGCAACTGGAGCTCCATGACTTGTTTGCTTCCTTCCAGAAGCTTCACTAGCTCGCATGGACACGCAGCAACGACAGCTGGTCCTCTGTTTCAACGAACTCTCGCCAGCTCGATCCTAAGACGGTTTCAGCAAATCCAACTTGCAAAATAAAATAACAGAATGAGAGATGATTTTTTTGGGAGATTTTCTTTTTTTTCTTTTATTTATTTGATTGTAAAACTCGAGAAAATAAATGTAAAGGGGTCTTCCTCCTCCCCCATTTTTTCGAGCAATGAAAACAAAGAATCTTCCCCATTTTTTGATTAACAATGAATAAATGTTTTGCCTTTTCGTTCATATTCGAATCATTACCAAAAAATCAACTAAAAATCGAGAACCTATTCAAAACGAAACAAAAAGTGAAAATAGGAGAGTTATACGAACGAAGAACACGCGGAGAACCAAAGAAAAGGAATCTTACGCTTAGGTCTTCGATGACGGTGGCTCCAGTGGTCAGATGGCAGATCCGGACGGTTAAATGAAGCCTGGTGGTGACATAAGTAACATAGTTCAAAGCCGATTCGATCCAACGGTTGACGGAGGAGATCGGTGAGATAAAAACCGAAAGGTTGTAGGTCATTTTTGTGGAGATGGGAGCCGATTCCTGCGGAACCAAGTCTTGATTTGCATTACCGGTGTCAAAACGAGTCGACTGATATTGTTTGGTGTCCAACGACCATTAGAGATGGCGGCCGGCACGGTGGCGATGCTGTGGTCGGCGGCGGATCTCTTCGCCGTTTGTTAGATAGCAAAGAGAGAAGATAGAATTTTGAAAAGCAGAGAGAGAAAGTTGTAAGAAAATGAAAAAGAAGAAAATTGACTATATAACCCGATCACACGATGCCGTTTTGGGCCGTACCTGCGCGTTTTGGATCCAATGGATCAAATTACTTTCTAGGTCACTGTAAGTTTTATTTCTTTACATTTTGGTCATTGTGATGTATAGTTGCACAAAAAATCCGAATATCCGAAACCGGATTTGGGAAAAATCGGTTTTTTTTAAACCGGATCGGATATTTTAAAACCGGATATTATAACCGGTTTGGGAAAAAAATTGGATAACTGATTTTTTTACTGGTTACACCATCCGACCCTCCAAACAGGATACGATCCGGTTTTTTTAAAATCCGTTTTTTTTGTTAGGTGAAAAAACTGGAACGGTTTTTAATCCGGTAATGTGCATGTCTATTGTGATATGTTTTTTATTTTAAATTGAATGTCCTTATCCAAAAGTTTTTTTTATTTCAAATTACAAACATGTTTGATTACATCGATAAATGAACCATGAAAAGAGCTCTAACTATTGAAAGACAACAAATAAACCACAAATCAGAGTTGAGTGATGTGAAAACAATTATCTACAAAAAAAACCACATATCTAAATTCAATCTAAGAGTCTAAAAAAGGGAAGATCAACATAATAACAAATAAACATCATCTTGATAAGTCAAGACGACATTAAATCTAACCATAAAAAAAGATTAACAAAGAGAACCACCAAATGATCAATAAAAAAGACAAAAAATGCCAAAAGATAAAAGAAAATGTTTCACAAAGACAAAGAAAAAAATGTCATAAAGGTAAATTTATTAAAAATTAAAAAAAATGATATATATAAAGTAAATGAAAAATAAAAAATACTGACAGATTGACAACCAACACTAAAACTAGTGTAGTTATTGACAAAAAAATAAAAAGAAAAAAGAGTAATCAAAAGCCTAGGGTTGAAAACCCTAGTTTGGTTGCAATAATCAAATTATTTTTTAAAAAAATTCAACGTAGAGGGAGATAGGATTGAGCACCGAAAATCAGAAAATAGAAAAATCATATTGAATTGGATTATGTGGTTCGATTCAATTTGAATTTTTTTAAATTGTGGTTTGATTTCAGTTTAGTTTAAAAAATAAATATACAATGTTGTTCGGTTTCAATTTTTTCCATATGAAAACCGTTTGAACCAAATCAAACTGAATTAAAAATAAAAAATAAGTATTCCAACCAAATTCATTTTGAATTTATTATAAGATATATTTTAAAAAGTAAAATCTTAAAAGTAATAATATTTATATATATATACACACACACTCGATTTAAGCTTTAAATTTGAATTTTTTGGAGATTGAGTTTGAAAAATAGTAAACAGTAAAAAAATTGAATCGAACCGAAAACTGTAATTTTTATGCCATTTAGTTTCGGTTTCAAATTGTAAAAACTCACAAAGCTTGGTTCGATTTAATTTTTAGTAAAAAATCAAATCGAACCGAATCAAATACACTCATAGAGGGGAGGAAAAAGGAGAATTTTACTCCTAATGAATATTCAACTTACAATCTAGGAGAGAGAAGGTATCAACTAAGTACTTCTATCCACCTACTCTAAATATTGTTTACTCTAATCAATTTTTTAATCTTCTACACTTTTAATTACGTTTAATATTCAATTATATTTTATTCAACTCTTATATCCGGGTAATCTTCCACCTACTAGCTAGACAATAGTTTCAGATCAACTTTTACGCCAAAAATTGCATGATCTATAATCTCTCCTGCTTCTTCAATAACTGATGTCATGGGATATAAATCCTATTAAGTTTTAATGTTGTCTTGCTTGCATTTTCGATTTTACTGTCAAAAGAGAATCCTACGAAGTATCGAGAATATTAATGTTGCACCCACAATTTATTGCTTTGTCCATTATTTGATTATTATTTGTTTTAGACCACACACTTTCATTGTCTTTTCATTTATGTTAGTTGGTGAGATAATTTATATTTTTTTTTTCTGTTTTGAATGGGTCACATTGATTACAAGTGATTCATCATTTTTAATTTGGTGGAGAGACCCAATAGGTGGTTAGATGATTGCCAATCGGTGTAAAAGTATTCTGTTTTTATAAGGTAGAAAAGAGATGAATGAGGGAGGTGATTTTTTCTTTTCTCTCGATCTTAGTTGATAGATTTGATAGTGATTCTTTATACAAATATCAAACATAAAGATATTATAGCAACTCGTAGATAAACAGACTAAATAGATACGATCAAAGGACATGTCAAGAAATCAGGACCTCCTAATGGGCATTGACTGTGTGAGTCGACTCGAATTCTTTGGAGATGCTCTCCCCATGTGTTGTTTTCTTCTTTTAGTGAAATTGGCAAAACTCACGAGATAATGTGGTTGGAATAATTAATTCACGAGATAATGCTTTGGCCGAATTAATTACTCATACAGTCCCATGTAGGTCGTCATGTACGCAGGACGAGGAACGAGGTCGCCAGGGCATCAAAGCTAAACAGATTCTCATTTTCCTCTTTGCAAAGTATACACGTGCAAGAGATTTACATAAACAATATTTTTTTCATATAACATCAGTCATTGGTTGATTAATTTAAAGTGGATGTAATACAAATCTATGAGGTGATTCATTATTAATATTTTATATTTACAACATCAAAATCTAATTTCATGATATGTAAAGAATGTATGGACCTGCAAAATCAAGCATAATAAGGTTATTTCAGTACAATCTAACCTGGGATAGGTAAGTTGGATAGGAGGTCGCCCGGAAGGCATGGCGACCTCCAACCTTGAATGGCGTGTGCATGGCGACCTTCAACAGCTCTCCCGGAAGGCATCGCGACCTACGGCTAATACCGTGGATTTCATCCTATATCAGCAATTAATTCGGCCAACGCATTATCTCGTGAAGTAATTCTTTCGAGAACATTATCTCTACAGTTTTGCCAATGAAATTTACTTAAATAAAAGTAGGTGGTTGGATGTTTTAGAGATAATCCGCGTCTAGAATGTTTTCAAGCTCCTCCTAAAGAAAAAAACCCTAATAAGTTTAATATTGGTAGTGATGGGACATAAAAAATTGCAGAGACGCATGGCCCTACGGGGCACATATAAATTGGCGAAAATATTACTAGGGAAGGAGGTAGAAGACGAGGATACATTACTCGTCTTCCATTGTCCGGAGAGACTCTAGTAAAACATGTGATTGTCTCATGAATTTACAAAAGATTTTGGACCTAATGATGAGTATATATCGGAGAGTGATATAAATTAAAAGTCAGATGACTCACTTGATGACAGTTTCAGCGGGAATATAAGGTATGGCGTTGGTACTTTTAGCGTAAGGATCGATTCATTAGTCCTTAAACGCAAGATTGAATGGTCGACCATAATTTATATTTCTATTAATTTTAATGGTTGTGGACCATGTGAGATAATATTATATTATTGATCTTTGGTTAGAATATTAATGTTGTCCTCAAAATTTATTGCTTTGGTCATTCTTTAATTTTCATTTGTTTTAAACTTCTATACACTTTTATTATCTTCGCATTTATGTTGGTGGGTGAGATAATTATGGTTTTATAACTTTGTTTGCTTTCCCTTTTTTGTTAGAATTGTATTTTGATTCATTTATATATATATTTAAGTAAACTAAGCCGACTTCCACGACGCTATCCATCTCCTGGTTGCAAAAAGGAAGGCAACCATTCAACACTAACAAACTAAAAAATCACAGCAGCAGAGAAATGTTGGACAACCGAATAAATCGAGCCAACAACACACCCAGCTCACCTCCAAATGCAGAACAAACAGACACAAAACCAACAATCAAACATGCACAAGAGAAAGCTTCAACTTCAACCATACCATGAATACATTGAGATAAAACAAAAGACCCAAGTACGGAGAACAAAACACGTCAACGTCTTTAACATGACACAAGAACTACCAACCAACCAATTAAACCCAAATGACCAACACACCAAACAATCAACACAGCCGAAACGAGAAAACAAGAAAAATAAGACTGAATGACTACCACAACGCCTTGACCAACATCTCTTGATTTGATAAGATCACAACTTCTCTTTGCTCAATTTGGAAACGATAAATCGAAGCAGAGTAACACTAAATCAGCCACCAGCAACACCCGATTGCAAAGAAAACAGGTACACCACTCAATGTCTTGGGTAAAAAAAAACCCGTAGTACAAAAAAGGATAACAAACAAACTAAAGTAAGCAACAATCAGATCTGCATTCTACTTCTGAGACACCATCTAACCTCGTTCCCATGAAGATCCACAACCCGACGCCACTCCAGTCGTAAATCCCATGCCAGAAGCAGAACCAATGGTAAATCGAACAATCAAAGAATTAGCCGCAACTCCCGCCGTTCAACAACCACTTTGCATTGCTTTTCCTAACGACGAGACTCTCTTTCAGCTCAAGCCGAGACTAATCCATCTCCTTCCTACCTTCAACGGTCTTCCCAGTGAAAATTCGCATAAACATCTAATGGAATTTCATATGGTCTGTTCAAGCATGAAACCCCAAGGAGTATCAGAAGACCAAATCAAACTTAAAACTTTTATTTTTTCCTTAAGCGATTAGGCTAAGGAATGGTTATTTTATTTACCACCAAATTCCATTACTACCTAGGCTGACTTAACGCGTGTTTTTCTTGACAAATTTTTCCTAGTGAAAAAAGCAAGCGAACTGAGGAGAAGCATCATGGGAATTTGACAGAATGAAGGAGAGTCACTTTACGATTACTGGGAGCAATTTAAAAGCTATGTGCCAGTTGTCCGCAACATGACCTATTTGAACAAATGCTCATTCAGTACTTTTATAAGGGAATGCTTCCAATAGAAAAGAAGATAGTAGATGCCTCCAATGAAGGTGCTCTCGTCAACTTGACCACAGAAGCAACAAGGAATTTAATTTCCACAATGACGACTAATTCACATCAATTTGTCTCCCCAAGTGATTCCA